GTTTCACCTGTATTCCTCCACTGACCTGTCTGGTACCATCCATAGATCTGGCCATCTGCTCCACTCCTCTGCCATTGGGATGGACCTCTTCCTAGCTCTACCCTGCCATCTGTCCACCTATCCATCCCCACACACACCCTGTCCATCTATTTATCCATCCCCACAAACTCTGTCTATCACCACACATGTCTCTGGTGTTTTGTCTGTTCCCCTTCACATCTCCCCATCTGCTGCCTCCTCCTGTCAGCATGTCCTTGGCACCCTATGCCTCCTTTCTCCTACTCTCCTTATACTAACCCTACCAGCCTTAGCCCTGGGGTTTCCCTGGGAAGAGACCAAAGAGATGAATGCTGCCATGTTCCCTTCGTCCCAGTGAGCCTTTTTAGTGTCCCCAGCATGAACTCAGCCTGGGAAGAAAGCCAGCCTATTGTCCACCCACACTGTCCAGGCAGGGCATACTTGCCTGGAGCTAATTAGTCGAGTGTCAGGCTTGAGCCAGAGAGAAGCCATTCAAGTTCTGTTGGCAGAGGGTGGCTGGGAGCCCCAGGAGTCATGGTTTCTATCCTAGCTCTGGTAAGGAGGTGGTGAGTCATGGTTAGAGCTGAGGGTCAGGATGCCTGGGTTCTTTCTCCAGGTCTGCCACTGAGACCCTCTTTGACCTTGGGCAAGTCCTTTTCCCTCTCTGTGCCTCATTTTCCCCAGTGAGTCAGCGGGTGTCCTGTGCCAGACCTTTTGGGGAGTCTATGAACCCAACTAGGGCCTGTGCCAGCTGCTTTGTGTCAAGTCCCAGGATCCTGCTCTCCCAGGGTGTGCCAAAGAGCACTTTCAGATGGACACACTTCTGCCACCAGAGCCAGGGTGGCTCTCACTGGTGTTTTTTGGGAGGTCATCGATGCTAGGTCATCATGGGCACAAGGGTCACCCCTGCCCCTCCAGCCCTTCTTGCCAGGGTGACTGTCCTGAATACCAGAACCTGTTCCAGAGCAGCATGGGGTATATGGGAAACTGGCATGCAGGGAGAACACCTAGATTCTCTTTCAGCTCTAGGAAGGGTGTGGGCATCAATAGGCTACAGTAGGGGGCCCGGGTTCTGACTCCAAATCAGGGGCATTGGTTGGCTTAGGGAGGTGAAAGATGGGTGAGGGGTCTTTCATCTCCAGGGGAATCAGCTCCGATACAGACCCAGGGCAGGGGCCTGGCTGGCTTAGGTGGGAAGAGAGACACAGACCTTTCCTTTAGAAATGTGGCAAACAGCAGCATTCTGTTGTCTTGATGGTGCTGGTGTGCACTGCCAGGTCCCGGGGGTCTCCATGCCTCCTAGTCGCACCACTTTGCAGCACCCTCTGTCTCTGAGAAAGCAACTGTCATTCCAGGACCATGGGAAACTCATTTCACCTTCCAGCTTGCCCTTCTGGTTTGGAGCAGAGGGAGGGGCAGCACCATGGCCAAAGTCAGGAGACAGGACATCTACAGTTCAGCCTTTTAATGGAGACTGTTTCCACTGACAGCTGGACTCTGAGGGGGCCTGTGTGCCTGGAACCTGCCACCCCAATTTATTTTTTAACAGCACAGATATATATATATATAAAAATTAAATAAAAGTGTATATATATATATATAAATATAATTTTTCTAACCCTCTGAGTGGCAAAGCTGGTGCCAAGACTGATTCACACCAAATGCTGCCACCAGAGCCATTACTAAAAAGAAAAAGATAAATAGATGCCCTGCAAAAATATGCCCTCTTCCCAGAAAACTGTGATGAGACCGGTTGGAACTCATAGCACCAATGGCTTTCTAGAGCACCAGTCCCAGTGGTGGCAGGGGAGAGGTTGGGGGCAGCGCGCGCGTGTGTTTGAAACTCGAACCCTATCCATTAATGTTGACCTGTTCATTTTCTGGTGATGTACAGATGAAGCCAATATTAAAAACTGTGGATGCGTACTACTGAGAGCAGCAGCTGAGTTTACTTTCCCACCTGCACATGCCTGTTTCCTTTGTGTGCTCTGGGAACTGGCCCAGGTCTTCCAAGGAAGGTGGAAATTGCCCCAGGCTGCCTGAGCAGGTGCCTAGCAAGTCAGATCCCATGCCTCTCTTTGGGAGAAGGTGCAAGAAAGCCTGTTCTGACACAGTGAAAGATGGGCAGGGCCCTCCCTGCTAGGATATTCCCTTCATTAATTGACCCAGCTCCATCGTAAAGACATTTCAGTCTCATGCCCCTGCTGCTCTTACTAGGAATCTACTCTCTGCTCAGATGCAAGGAAATGTATTTCCCACCTGAAGTCAGGGATGTACTTAATACTCGTGTTGGTCTGAGACTAAAAGAAACACAAAAATCTAGATCTCTTGGTTCTAAAATTATACCTTTTATTAGACCAACTGAGAAATTGCAAAAAAAAATCATTTTCTGCAAGCTTTCGGGCTCAAAGGCCGTTCAACAGGCGCTGGGAAAAGTATAGATGGTAAAAAGTCTCCATAGGTAGGAAATAAACTTCATTTTTGCACAGAGAGCTGGAGATGGAAAGCTGTCCCTCTGTGCAAAACTGAAGTTTATTTCCTACCTATGGGGACTTTCTACCATCTGTACTTTTCCCAGCACCTGATGAAGGGCCTTTGTGCCTGAAAGCTTGCAGAAAAGGATATTTTGTGATTTTTCATTTGGTCCAATAAAAGGTGTCATTTTAGAGCCAAGAGTTCTAGATTTTTGTATTTCCTACCTGAATTCATTCCCAGCCAATTTATCCCTGTGCTCTGAGGTCAATGCTGTTAGCTCTGACAGCTTTTCTTTCTGTCTAGCATTCCCTTGCGGTGTAATGTGATTCCCCACTCTTTCCTCCATCTCTGTGCTGCCAAGGCAAATGAGCCCAGCTGTTCAAGATGGATCCTCCCTGCCTCCAACCATCTGAAGGGTCATTCACTTGCTCCCATGTGGATTGGGCTTTCATGATTGTGGGTGACCAGAGCTGGGTATGTTGTGCCAACCAAGGTCCCACCCAGAGTGGTTGAGAAACAGCCTTTCTGATGCTGAGCGGATGTCAGCTTCAGTCCAAACTGTTCCAAAAATCTTGGCTGTTTTAATTATTTACTCTTCTAAAACTCTAGAGCTTAGAGTAACACTTTACCTGTAACTTGTGCTGATCCTCTTGTTAGGAAGGCACTGGAGCCTAGTGGTTTAGAGTTAGGGGTTCTGGAAACCTGAATCCCCAAGTCCTACCTGAGCTCTAGGAGGGGAGTGGGATTTGAAAAGTCGGGAACTCGGAACCAGGGCTCCTAGATTCTCTTACAGCTCTGGAAGGGCAGTGGGATCTGGTGGGTTAGAGCTGGAGGGGGTGGGGTTCAGAGCCAGGATGCCTGGGTTCTATTGCAGCCCTGGGCGGAGAGTGGTACAGCTCCACTTCTTAGACCTGCTAGAGAGAGAAGTACTTGCCTCCATCCTGGAGCTCTGAAGGCACCATTGACTTATGGCAAGTGGGCACAGTCAGCTTTTCTGAATTGCAGCCCCACTACTAAGAGGGGTACTTAGCCTGGAAGCCCCAAAAACTTATGGTCCTAGGGGCCCTACCTGAAATGCCCCCTGGGCTAGAGCCACACATGCCAAGCAGCAACCAAGGGCCTCTCTGCAGAGCTTGTGTGTGCCTCAGTTGTGCTCTCTAGGACCCCTGTATGTCTATGCTCCTGGCTTAGAGGCTTAGGGCCAGGAAGACTTGAATAACACCCAACAGTGAGGGATGGCAAGGCATTACCAGCCTGGGTCCAGGTGGGCCCCAGTGACAACCCTTCTCATCACCTGCTCTTTCTCTGCAGCCTCCACATCACAGCAGCATTGTTGTAGGCAAAACCAGCTGATGTGGCCACGGGACCCAGCACATCCCAGCCCCAGTGACCTGAATATTGACCGAAATGCTGCCTGCAGCCCTTCAACAGTACAGAACACGTGCACTGAGCTAGGCCACCTCCAATCCATACCCACACATATTTTTGTGGAGAGCTCACCCTGTGGCAGGAGCACCAAGGCTAGGGGCAGTGCCAGGACCTGACCCCAGGCTGCCTCCCCCCACCCCTCCAGGGGAAAATAGTACAGAGCACCACTGTCCTCTCAGCATAAAGGCAATAGAAGCCCCTTGGATCTTCTTCCCCCATCCTCACCCCCACCCATCCCCCACAAAGCTGACCAGCTAGTTCTGACCCCAGCACCTCCCAACTCCAGGCAGCAAGGAAGATCCAAAATACTAGTGAAAGTCTCTGTTGGGGATATTTAATGGGAGCCAACAGGGGACTCAAGGAGTTACACAGCTCAGTGTGGGGAGATCTGGGATTATCCAAGGCTGCTGCAATGGTAGGGAGCTCCCTGCTACATCCATAGGTGACTCCTGGGCCATGGGAACTCCTCTAGGGCCCTCCTTCCACAGCCAAAGTCCAGCCCATGGTCCTTCCCAAGCCTGGTAAGTGTTGTGCCATGAGACAGTTGCCCACAGAAGGAAGAGTGTTGGGTGGCAGTGCTAGCCATAGCCCAATTTACAGTGAGATGTTGCATGTGTAGCTCTTGTGCATTGCAAGGCATGGCAGAATGTGTTGAACTGTGCCATCCAGATATTCTGTAAGTGGGCGAGCACAGCTCTGAGATGTTGAGACTGGATTGCTCTGGGCAGTTGAAGGGAGTCAGGCTTATGTCCCTCAGGCTGTCAACTGGTCTCACCCTAACCCCTCCTTCCTCCCTGTGCCCAATAGCTCAGCCAGCACTGATCTAGAAAGGAACCAGTCTTCGTTCAGAAGCTCCAGGTCTTGGGAATTCCACTCCCCCTTGACCACTGTGATCCCCAGTGTTGTAAAACTGGCCCTCAGCCACACAGGCCCAGCAGGGCCATCCTGGACAAACAAGTCTCATACCATGTCACAGCATCACCCTCACAAGTGGCCCAGCTGTATACCAGCGCCCTGCCTGTTTTGCCTTCTCATCTCCAGATATGACTTCTTCTTTGGCAGTGTGTTGATCTGCATTTGTCTGACCTCTGCTCCCAGCCCTGGGATGGTCTGCTTCAGTGTAAACAGCCCTCTCCATGCCGTGGTATCTTGGGAGCATTGTGAAGGACTGGAGAGTGGGGAAACTATTGACTAAAATAGAAAAAAAGAACATTAAGGTTGACACTTCAACACTTCTGGACCCCAAACCTCAAAGGCGAAGTCCCTTAATCCCTGCGCGGGCTCCTGAGCTCTCTAAGGGAAGGGGATTTCAGAGGAGCTAAAGCTCCATTCTTGTTCAGCTGCATCTCTGGAAGCTGCACCACAAGGAACCTCAAGGTCTCCCTGCAAATGTAAAGGTACAAAAGTTTTAGCTCTCCTTAGAGCTGGGGAGAATGTACAACTGACATCAGTTTGGATCATTTTCCCCAATTCTCAAACTCTCTCTGCCAGAGGGACAGCAGATGCCAGGAGGCAATGTCCTGCCAGCACTTACCTCACAGTGGAGGGCTGCAGGTCAGAATGTGGCACCCTGTGATAAGGAAGAAGCCCAGGGATCAAATATCAAAAACTTCCACCCCAGGGCAACCAGTCTAGGCAAGCCATGGAGTCAGATGGCAGATGTCACAGACTGAATCCCAGAATCAGCCTAGCACCTAACATTTGACCTTTCCATTTCTCCTCCCTAGTCTACATCCCAGCAGCTGTCTCTCCTCAGCTCCACTACAGCTTTTCCTAGCCCCTTCTTAACCCTATAGTTGGCAGAGAACCCCAGCCCATATGTGGTCCCCCTCATCCTAAATGGGCCTCTCTACACCAGCCTGGCCATGGCCATCCTACCCCAGCCCACCTATCCTAGAGGTTGGTGGACAGCCTGAAGGTGCCGGGCCACATGCCGTGGCTCTTGAAAGCTCTTGCCACAGAGGGCACAGTGGTGGGGGCGCTCTCTGGAGTGCACGCGCCGGTGCTTGGCGAAGTTGGAGGAGTTGTTGAAGCGCTTGTGGCACATGGGGCACTGGAAGGGCTTTTCGCCTGTGTGAACACGCCGGTGGGTGGCAAGAGCTGAGGACTGGGTGAAGCGCTTGCCACACACACTGCAGGGGAAGGGGCGCTCCCCAGTGTGCACACGCAGGTGCTCCTTCAGGTCTGTGGCACGCCTGAAGCGCTTGGAGCACGCAAAGCAGATATACTGCTTGGCTTCAGGTGGTGGGGAGGCATGGACCAGCCTGCCAGGCCCCACGCAAACTTTGGGGCTCTGGTCCCCTGGACACTGTGGGGGCATGTCAACCAGCCTTTCCCATGAGAAGTAGCCATTGGGACCACGTTCTTCCTCAGCATCCTCCCCCCGGAGGCTGGGCACCTCCTGGATAGAGTCAACAGGGGATGCCATCCCCCTGTCCAGGCTGATCCAGTGGCCCTTGCCAAGAATGCAGGAGTCCTTCTCTGGGACTTCCCTTGTCACAAGATGCTGCCAAGCTTTGGGGTGCTCCATGGGGCACCAAGCCACGGCCTCTCTTCCCCCAGGTGGAGACGGACAGCTGTGGTTTGCTGCAGAGCAGGGCTCCATCGTCCTTTGCTCACTGCCAACGACTTGGAGGGGGACCCTTGTATGGCCTCCACTGTCCTGCGCTGGCCCCTTCACACGAGCACCACCATCTTTCACCTGGTTCCTCATGTGAGTGCCCCCACCGTGCATCAATTCTTTTGCCAGAGCACTGCCATTTTGCCTCTGCCCTTTGGCCTGGGCACTACCATTCTGCATCAGTCCACTGGTAGAAGCCCCACCATCTTGCATCAGCCCTTTGGCATGAGGGCTGCCATCTTCTCTCAGCCCTTTCACTGGAGCTCCCCTATCTCGCTTTAGCCCTGTGGCACAAGTGCCGACATCTTGTGTCCGCCCTGTGGCATGAGAGCTGATATCTTGTGTCCGCCCTGTGGCATGCCCTTCCCCGTCCTGCTGGCTCTGGGGGGCACTGGGGCAAAGGGTGCAGGCATTCTTGGCATGCAGGGGCTGGGTGGGGGCTGCCCTGTGGCCCAGGCAGGCATGGATACGCTGGTGTTTCTTGAAGTTGGAGCAGTTGTTGAAGGCCCTGGCGCACACAGAGCAGCGGAAGGGGCGCTCGCCTGTGTGGATGCGCAGATGGCCAGTCAGCACCGAGGCCTGGGTGAAGCACTTCCCGCAGATGCCGCAGCAGAAGGGACGCTCTCCTGTGTGCACACGCTCGTGGTCCCGCCGGTCTGAAGAGCGCTTGAAACGCTTGGTGCAGAAGGAGCAGGAGTAGGGCTTCACCCCGGGGCACTGGCTGGGCTCGGGGCTGGGGCACAGCCTGCAAGCAGCCAGTGTGGTGGTGGTCGTCCAGCAAGTGGGCAGATGGGAACAGGCAGCCGCAGGTGGGGCACTGGTGGGGCCCCACATGGGTGTCCTCGTGGATGTACTGGAAGGGCTCTGGGGGCTGGGGGTGGCTCATCTTGGCAGAGCCCTGCAGGGAGCCGGCTGCCCCCTCCTTGGCCGCTGCAGTCATGGCCTGCCCCTCCCTCCGCTGCCTGGGGCACCCCGGGCCCTGCAT